GACACCATTTGTGACGCCAGCATCCCATATCAGAGCACAGGTTCAAGTCCAGGCCGCTCCACTTCCGATCCAGCTCCCTGTTAATGCACCTGGGAAAGTGGTGGAAGATGGCCCAAGGCCTTGGGCTCCTGCACCCACATGGGAGACCCTGACTTCGGATCGGCACAGCTCCAGCTGTTGTGGGCATTTTGGGAATGAACAGGCACGTGGAAGACCTCTCTCTCTGTCTCTCCCTCTCACTGCCTGTAACTCTACCTCTCAAACAAATAAAATCTTTTTCTTAAAAAAAAAAAAAAAAAAAAGAGCAGATGACATCGAGGTGGGGCACTGGGCCAGGGCTGAGGGGTGAGGTGTGGCTGAGTGTGACCCAAGCTCCCTGCCCATGGCTATCACGTGGCTGGGAAATGAGCGATCCTGTGGCGGGGGAGGGTACTGCTGCCACGGGCAGGGGCCTTCCTCACGCTTGCTCCATGCCACCTGTCCACCAGTGGGTCCCGCTGGATCAGCTGGTTGTCCCGCGCCCAGCCGTGTCTCCCTGCGGCCACATGCAGACAGCCAGCAGCTTGGCGGAGCAGCTCGGCCAGGCCCCTGGGTGCCGGGTTTGGTAACTGGGGGAAGCTCCTTAGCCTGCATTTGCCCAGCAGTGCCGGGGAGGAGGAGCCGGCTCCCATCTGGCCCCATCAGAGCTGTCGACCCTCTGTGTTTGTCGTGGCACAGAGCAAACAAACCCTGGAGTTCAGAGAGCTCTCCTTTTGAATGCTGGGCGACACACAGTTGCTTCTCATCACCTGCGGTTTTGTGGCTTGAAGTCACCCCCACGCTGAACTGGCCAGTACCCAATCCCTCTGCTTAGGGAAGACACGGGGCTGGGCCAGCCTTGGTCCCAACATGACCTGGCTTTGTGTGTGCTTTCCGTTAAAGAGCCCTCGCTTGTGCAGCAGCTGAGACAGGCTTGGCGCACCTGTGTCCTGTACGGGGCGCCTGTGTCCTGTACGGAGCGCCTGTGTCCTGTATGGCGCGCCTGTGTCCTGTACGGGGCGCCTGCGTCCTGTACGGGGCGCCTGCTCTGACCCCCCGGCCCCACCTCCAGTTCCAGCTTCCTGCTGCTGCACAGAGGAGGCAGCTGGTGGTCGCTCAGCCGGGCCCCTGCCACCAGTGTGGAGACACACACCGAGTTCCAGGCTCCAGGCTCCCGGTCTCAGCCTGGCCCAGTCCCAGCTGTGGTGGGCGTTTGGGGAGGAAACCAGTGGATGGAAGATTTCTGTCTGTGTCTCCCTTCGTTTCAAATAAAAGGACAATAAATAAATGTTTTTGTAAAAGGCAACTTATTGGATATTCAAGGCTACTTCAAAACGTGCGTGGAAGAGGACATGCTGAGGCTGGCGCTGTGGCGCAGCGGGTTAAAGCCCCAGCTCGCAGTTTGCCGCATCCTCTATGGGTGCTGGTTCTAGTCCCGGCTGCTCCTCTTCCATTCTAGCTCTCTGCTGTGGCCTGGGAAAGCAGTGGCGGATGGCCCAAGTGCTTGGGCCCCTGCACCCACGTGGGAGACCTGGAGGAAGCTCCTGGCTCCTGGCTTTGGATCAGCTCAGCTCTGCCATTGCGGTCATTTGGGAGGTGAACCAGCAGATGGAAGACCTCTCTCTCTCTCTGTCTCTACCTCTCTCTGTAAATCTGTCTTTCAGATAAATAAAATAAATCTTTTTATGAGATGTTAAGATGAATTTACTCTGATGCAAACATTGTTTGAAATTCACACACACAAAGGGCTCCGAGATATTCGTGGAACGTGCACACCACGGAAATCTCCGCACGAGCCCCAAAGCTCCGGGCACCAGAATAGACACCTGCCTTTTAATTCCATTCCCCCACAAACTTTTTGAAGCGCCTTTGTGTGTTGTGGATTGGGAGACCCGGATGAGACCCAGACGGAGTTCTGGGCTCCTGGCTTGGCCTGGCTCAGCTCTGACTGTCTTGGGCATCTGGGGAGTGAACCAGCAGATGGAAGACTGACTCTCTCTCTCTCTCTCTCTCTCTCTCTCTCTCTCTCTCCTCTCTTTCAAGTAGATGGGGAAAAGAATAAAAACAAATAAACAAAAAGCCCAGCAAAAGCACCAAGAAGATGCTCCCAGATGTGAAAACCACAGACAGAACACTTGTTGTTAGTGAGGAAGCCAAGAGGAGGGGTGAGGGTGACCCTGACAGCGAGATCGGCCGAGGGGACCTGCGGTGGCCCCGCCAGTGTCCTCACGGCCGAGGAGGGCAGGGACGGCTACTCTCAGAGCGGCGGTGAAATCCAAGCAAACGCAGAAGGCTTGAGGAAGAATGGGGCCATCTCTGCTCTGAGCTGACCTCCTCTGTCTTCCACCCGTCCCTCGGCAGGTGGCGTGGCGTCTCCCACCCAGAGAGATGGACAACTGCTAGCCTGGATGCAGACAGACTCTGAGGCTGGCAGCCCCGCCCCTGACATGCAGGCTCCCCAGCTGGCAGCCCCGCCCCTGACATGCAGGCTCCCCAGCGAGACTCAGGGTTGACCAGCTGTACCAAGAGCTTCCCTCCGTGCAAATCCATGGAACGAGAACAGGAAACCCAGTACACTGGACGGAACCCATCCCCCTACACATCACGTGCAAAGGGTGCAAGGTCTTCCTTGTCAATTACTAGAGGAATGAAAATTAAAATCCTGTCAATATTTTTCTGGAACAGCTATTGGCACACTCAACTAGCTGTCAGAGGAACTTACTTCACAGCTTACGGCCAGACCTGTGAATACACTCCACAGCCGCGGGAATCTCTGATAAGGAAAATGTCCCCAGCCCGCATGTCCAGCTCTGCCCATCTGTCCCACGCTGCGTCACCCCGGTGAGACCACGCAGAGCCACTGCAAGGCCGTGCGTCCCCTCCTGGAAGTGACCCTTCCCTGTCCAAGCTCAGTCGCCTCCACGCCCACCCCCGACCCCTTCATTTGTTTTTGTCTTCTTTCCTAGGGGCCCCGCCTTCCAGTCCTCCCTGTTCCGCAGAGCAGCGAAGGTCCGACGTGCCTGGTGACAGCAGGGCACCACGGGCAGAGTCACTCGCTGCTTCTGGCAGGGAACAGGCGCAGAGATCGAGGAGAACTTAGCCAGGGCCTGGCTGGTGCACGAGGGCAGAGGTTTGCCGTGTAGAGCACTGGCTACGTGGGGCCAGATCCTCCTTGCAAAAGGGCCACGTGCAGGAGCGCGGGCACGAGAGACAGACAGAGACAGAGCGTGTGTCAGACAGAGGTGGGGACCCCGGCAGAGGCTGAGACGGCCAGGCCAGGTGCGGGATGCTGCCCGCCCACCGCATTTGCCCCCACGACCACCCTCACGTGGCTGCCCACCTCGCGGGATGCTGGGTGAGGAGCTGGACCGAGAGACCCTTGCCTGGCCCCTTCCTCCCCTTGTCTCTGAGGTTTGGGAGCGCCCCCCTGCAGAACACACCCATGCCCACATCAGGGTTACACACGCGCAAGTCAGCAGCCCTGCGAGAGGACTAGCGCCTGAGGCTGGTGGCAGGGTGACTCACCTGGGGCCTGAACACAGCCTCAAATTCCTGCGCAGGGCCCAGCCTCCTGCTGTCAGTGCTGGGAGTGGCCATCTGACGCGGTGGGGGCAGCAGGAGGCTGGAGCCCCCGGCCCTGAGTGTGTGCTGGGACTGTAGACAATGTCCCACTGCACCCCAGCAAGGCCAGCATGGCGGGGAGGGGACAAAGAGAAGCGCGGTCTGGCTGCGGCTCTCCCGACTGCCCTGGGCCCTGGGGCCCGGCCCTCCCTGTGCCGGGCAGGCATCACTGGACAAAGTGTCTCTGTGGGAAGGCGGTGGCCCAGGTATTTGCTAAGGCCCTGGAGCGCTTCCGCCCTGGGATTAGCTGCGGGGAGAGGAGACAGCCTGGCTGTGAGCAGGCCCTGAGGTGGCCACGCTCCAGGCATGACCTGTCCAGGTGGCGTAAGGATCCCGACAGCAACTCCACAGGTGGATTTGCACAGGATTCGGGGAAGGGAAGGGAGGCCTGGCTCCAGAGACCACGCGGGCCTGGTGGGAAAAGGAGAGAGCTGTCCTGTCCACTCGGCAGCAAGGAGGAGGGCAGGATGGCTCAGCTGACCCGGCCCTCCACGGCAGAGCTCTGGGCGAACGTCTAACCTGCCCCAACGGCTGCAGAGCAGAAGCCCTGGCCAGTGCCCGGTGCTCGCCAAGCGCCCACTGAGGGCAGCCTGAGGCCTGGAAGCTCGGGTCCCCCCACTCACAGGCTGAAATCCCAAGCACCCCCGCGGGTGATGGCAACGGAGGTTGCACAAGACGTGCAGCCTTGGTGCACGGGGCTAGGACGCGTTTACACGAGGCCCCGGGAGAGCCCGGAGGTCCACGGGTGAGGCAGCCTCACCAGTGTCACCGGGAACCTGCAGCACCGGGACCGGGACTTCCAGCCTCCAGCGCCGTGAGCAGCGAGCTCAAGCCGCCCAGGGGGGCGCTTACTGTGTCGAAGCACCCTCGGCCCCCCGGGGCCCGCCGTCGCCACCCCAGCACCTGTCATTCGCCATTTCCATTTAGGAATGAGACTCTGAAACGGGAACCACTTCAGGTCCCGGCCCTTCCGGGAAAACTCCCTCGCCCTCGGCCGGAACTGAAAAGCATCGCGCAAGAAAAGCCGGCAAAGACGCGCCGCCCCGGCTGCCCGCGCCCGCACGAGGAAACGGGAACGCGTCGGGGGCATGCGAGGACCTCGGTGGGCACCGCCTGCGGCCTCAGCCCGGGACTGGAGGGCAAAGAGGTGAAGAGCCGGCGCCACCGGGAGTTTGCGGCGCGCTCTCCCGGGTCCGCGGCGCTCCCGGGCTGCGCCCTGCGCCGGCCCCGCCTCTCGCCCCGCCCCCGGAGGAAAGGAGGGAGGGGAGCGTCCCGCCCGCCCATTGGCCAGTCGTCGGTTCATTTGCATCGGCGGGGGCGGGCCCAGTGACGTCACCCAGGGTATCTGAGTGGCTGCTGGGTTGCGTGCTCAGAGCCAGAACTGGCGCTGGTCACTGCGGTCCCTCGCATCCCCGTCCCGCGCGGCCCCGCGCCGCCATGTACGACCCGGAGCACGGCTGGAGCCTGTCCTTCGCGGGCTGCGGCTTCATGGGCTTCTATCACGTCGGGGCTACCCGCTGCCTGAGCGAGCACGCCCCGCACCTCCTTCGAGACGCGCGCATGTTCTTGGGCTGCTCCGCCGGGGCGCTGCACTGTGTCACTTTCCTCTGTGGGATGCCGCTGGGTGCGTGCGGGGGACCCCCGGGGTCGCGGGGTGCGTCCTGCAGGGGCCCGCCCCAGGCCCGGCTGCTCGCGGGCAGGGCACACGCCCGAGGCCCTGCTCCTCTGGGCGTGGGCGCCCACGGGGACCTGGCGGGCGTGGAGGCTTCCGGAGCCCAGGGCCATCTGCCCCAGCGCCCGGTCACCAAGGGAGTCCTCCTGGGACTGGGAGTCGGGCTTGCCCTGGGCGACCCACGGGCAGAGCTATACAAGAGCCTGTTTGCGGGTGGTGGGCGTGGTGGGCGTGTTGGGGGTCTGAGTACAGGGAGACCCTGGCCCGTGTCCCACCTAGGAGACCCAGGGACAGGAGCCACTGCCCCTCTGGGCTCTGCGTAGCCTCTCGGGGGTGACCTGGGGTCCTCCAGCTGGTTCGGCATAGCGCTGGGGAGAGGAGTGGGATGGGAAAGTGTCTCCTTCCCTCCCCCGTGTTGGGGAGACTTCCTGGGGGGCTGGAGTGGACCCCTGGACATCACGCCCTCATCTCTCTCTCACTCCTCCCTCTCCTTTAGCGGCCTGGTGCAGGGCCGCTGGAAGTGAGATGCTGTGGGGTGGAGTCCGTGTGTCCCTTGGCGTGCTGGCCAGAGGGACACAGGGGCTTTGTGTCTTGCCAAGACCCAACTCCGAGGGTGTGGCATCCTTTCGGGTTGCCAGTGTGCCGCAGGCGGTGGGTTCTGAGCCGGGGGCAGTGCCTCAGGCAGGTGGCATCATGGAGCTGTCCCCACGTGGGAAGAAAATGCCCTTTTGTCAGCCCCTGTTTGTCTGGGCTCGGAACAATTTACTCTTTGCTCTGCTGGCCAGTGCCGGCAGGGGGTGAGTGGGGAAGCCCCTCCAGGACAGGAAGCCCTGCCATTGGGCCGGATGGATGAGCAGACCCTGGGCTGACGGATTTGGGGATTAGGAGAGAGAGCTTCCTGGCTGCCTGCCCATCTGTCTGCCTGCCCATCTGTCTGCCCTCCCCAGCCGGGGAGAGGAGCAAAGGGCAGGAAGTGTGGCCTCCTGGGAGGATTAGACTGGCCTGCTGACCATCTGCACACCGTGGCGTTAGCAATGATGAAAGTCAGCGCCTGTGTCCCCAGGTGGCCCGTGGGCACCGCATGGAGGAATGTTGAATCGGGGTGAGATTAACGTGTACTGACCCCCGCAGCCTGAAAGGCAAGCCGGGGCCTCCAGCATTGGCCGGCGCGGTGGGGGTGGGGGCTCCTAACTGAGCACCCGGCAGGTGCAGCCTGAGGGCTGTGCTCTGTGGACGCGGGGAGCCTCAGGGACCTCAGCTCCTGGAAAGTGGATCTGGAGGTGTTGTCACGAGCCACCCTCTGTGTTGCAGGGACCCAAGGTCCTGCTTGCGCCCCTGCCTCCCAGGGAGCTTTGAGCGGCGTTTCCCAGGCTTCCGAGCCCAGGTCTGTGTCAGGAGAGACGGACAGAGGCCTCCAGCTGCACGCATGTCCATCCGTTCCGGCTAGGCTTAGCGGAGGTGAGGGAACAGCGGGGACTCATGAAGCAAGTCCTAGATGGATCAGGTTGGGCCAGGGTCTATCCGACAGCATGCGTCCCAGGATTCGTAGCAGGCGGGGGCTTGGGCTGGGAGGGGTGGTCCTTCACACCAGGGCAGAGGGGAGCAGGCTGGGTGGGGGGTCAGTGCCGGCCCCCTAGTCACGCTCCGTAGGGGCACGAGTTATTTTCTAGGACTTGCCTTGGTCGAATCCCTTACACACGGAATTGTACCTGATCCTCTGTGTCCCCAGATGTCGGGTGAATCTTGTCCTACGTTGAACAGGCGGTGAGGTGGCTTACTGTGGTCTCTGTTGGCGAGAGGTGGACAGAGGATTCAAACGCAGGTCCAGGTCCCTTCTGTGGGGTCCTACAGGGTCCGGATGACCTGTGCCGAAGCTGGTGCTGCTGTGTTCCTGGCCTCTGCTTTGGTGGGGGCATGGTGGGGGGGAGGGCTCACCTGGGCCCAGGAAATGGGCGGCTGTGCTACCAGAGAAGTACACAAGCCACGTGTGTCATTCTACATATGCGGATCACACGGAGAAAAAACCCCCAGACACAGGAGAAATTGATTTCACTGAGCCTTCTCTATCCAAAATGTTACATTTATGCACTGATCTAATATAAACCATTATGAACAAGAGATTCCATACATATTGAGCCTTTGAAATCGGTATGTATCTCACACTTTTAAAAGATTTCTTTATTTATTTGAAAGTCAGAGTCACAGAGAGGGAGACAGAGAAAAAGAGGTTTTCCAGCCACTGGTTCGCTCACAAATGGCCACACTGGGTGGGCTTGGGCCAGGCTGAAGCCAGGTGCCTGGAGCTCATCCCAGTCTCCCACATGAGTGGCGGGGGTCTAAGTGCTTGTGCCATTTCCCACTGCTGTCCCAGGCACATTTGGAGGGAGCTGGATCAGAAGTGGGGCAGGTGGGACTCGAACCGGCACTTACATGGGATGCTGGTGCCCTGGTAGCTTCCCCCACCGCCCTGCAATGCCAGCCCCGTATTTCACACGTCTTCATTCAGACCAGCCACCTGTCAGGGACTCGGTGGCCGTATGTGGGGAGCAGGTCGGCACAGGTCCGGTAGAGCGTCGGCAGCTTCCTGGCTGCCAGGCGGGGTTCCGGGCCCCCTGCAGTACCTGCTCTCGTTCTCTCTCCCACCCGCAGACAAGACTCTGCAGGTCCTCATGGACATGGCCCGGGAGGCCAGGCGCCGGAACATTGGTGTCCTGCATCCTTCCTTCAACCTGGGCAGGTACATCCGGAACCAACTGCAGCTCTACCTGCCGGCCAACGTGCACCGGATCGTCTCGGGCAGAGTGAGCATCTCGCTCACCAGGGTGTCGGACGGGGAGAACGTGCTGGTGTCCGACTTCCACTCCAAGGAGGAGGTCGTGGACGTGAGTAGCCTGCCTGTCCGGGCGCTGACGGGAAGCCCCGGGGACGCTCAGAGATCTGGTCCCAGGCGGTTCTACAAACAACCCCACGCTCCCCCAGCGTAGGCTCCCGCATCCGACCCTGTGTGTCCCTCCCCTCTGCACCCTCCGTGCCCCGGGACCAGCTCGCTTCCGGGGTCTTGTTCGCGTCTGTTCTCAGCGTAGCGCAGGGAGCGGCTTTGGGATGTCACGTGGCTGGTGCTCCCAGGGGGCGTCTGGCACGATGACTTCATCTTGCTGAGCACAGGTCCCTGCGAGGCAGCCACCTGGTGAGCAGGGCCCGCGGCTCCGCAGCCAGCCTCAGTCTCTGCTCGCCTTGTTTCTGGAAGGTTCTTCTCAGTAGCCGGACTGTCCGTCCCAGCTGCAGCAGTGTGGTCCCAGGAGCTGTTAGAGGCTTAGACTCTCAGGCCTCGCAGAGGAGGGTGTGTGTGTGTGTGTGTGTGTGTGAGAGTCTGTATATGTCTGTGTGTGTGTCTGTGTGTCTCTGTGTGTGTCTCTGTGTGTGTCTGTGTTTGTGTGTGATTTGTGTGTGTGTGTGTATCTGTATTTGTCTCTGTGTCTGTGTGTGTGTCTGTGTGTGTGTGTGTCTGTGTTTGTCTCTGTGTCTGTGTGTGTGTGTATCTGTGTTTGTCTCTGTGTCTGTGTGTGTGTCTCTGTGTATGTCTGTGTGTGTGTCTCTGGGTGTGTCTTTGTGTGTGTCTGTGGCCCATCAGCCCCACAGGGATCCAGGGAACGTGAGGCGGGGAGAAGCACCAAGCTCGCCCCTTGTGGCCGCGAGTGGTCCTCTCTGGGTCCTGTTTGCAGAGACCCCGCGCACTCCCATGGGGGTAGGGACAGAGAGTTGAAGCTCGTGAGGGTCCATGGGCTGGGTTTTTCTGCCTTGGATTTTTCTGAATTTGTTGAAGACCCCTGCAGACAGGACCTGAAGTACCGGTGCCGCGTTGGTTCCCCGCTCAGTGGGCACTGGGGGGTTGTGCTGTGAGCAGGGCCGCGGAGGCCCAGGGGAGGGAGCGCGCCCGGCCCCGGCCTCACAGCCTTGGGTCTTGCAGGCCCTGCTCTGTTCCTGCTTCATCCCCTTCTACTCTGGTGTCATCCCTCCTGCCTTCAGGGGTGAGGTACGTGTGGCAGCGGGACTGGGCTGGGGGGCGCTCTCCTGTACTCGGCCGGGGCACCCAGCACCACGCCCCACGCCTCGTGCCTCTCGGCCTTTCAGACAGAGAATCCTCAGCTGGGCCCACTCCCGGGCTGCCCGGGCGGCCAGGTTTACCCCTGGGCAGGTCGTGAGCTCGCTGTGGGCAGGTGAAGCGGCCGGCTCGTTCGGTCTGCCCCGAATCCCCCTGGAGCACCTCCAGTCTCCCCTCGTGAGGCCGGGCTGTTCTCGGGGGAGGTAGGACGTGTCCTGCCTTTCCCGAGCACCGTCGCCGGCTCCTGCCACCCAGCTGCAAGGCTGGCCCGACACCAGCGAGTCTGGGCTCCGAGGTTCTAGCCTCTTAGGGCTGTTCTGGAACTCGTGAGAACAGCAGCAGCGTAGCTGATGACATCCTGCAGGTGGCATAGGCAGGGTCAGGTGCGGAGGGCACAGGTGTGGGGGAGACACCTGTTAGGAGCCAGGTCCCGCTCCGCAGCGCCTCCCTGAGTCCTCTCCATGGAAGGGAGATGGGCTCAGTCGCCCTGTGCCTGCCAGGGGAATGGAGACAGGGAGATGGGCTCAGTCGCCCTGTGCCTGCCAGGGGAATGGAGACAGGCTTGCTCTGGGAACTGCGGCTCCAGCCACCCGCTGCTGCCCACTCTGGGTGGGTGTGTCTTAGCTCACTGTGGGACAGCGCAGGGGTCCACAGGTGCATTGGGGCCTGGCTGAGTGGCTGAAGCATGTTTTGGATTCTGACATTGTCCCCTGCCCCCATCCCGCCTGTGGCTTCCTGTGGGCATCGCATGACCCACGAGAGTTCACAGCCCTGGCTCGATTCTGGCTTTTCTCCTGGCTCAGGGTCTCAGTCCCTGCTGGGTCCTGCTGGGTCCTCTGCAGCCCGTGGTGTGGCCACACAGCGCTGGGATTCGACCGCATTCAGCAGACCTGTGTGCCCGCCACGCTGTCTGGGGTGGCAAGGGCAGGGGCGTGGAACTGAGGCGCGAGGTGCTGGCTCTTCCCAGGGCTTGCCGGCACACATGGGGGACCCCGAGGGCGCGCCCTGGTGTCTGGAGGATGGAGGCCGGGGAGCCTGCTCACGTCCCACGGCCCAAGGACCCTGTGCCCCCGCCGGTAGGGGTGCCGAGCTGCCGTGGCGTGAGCTGCCGTGGCGTGAGCTGCCGTGGCTTGGTGTGGGAGGACAGCACAGAGGCGCTCGTGGTTTGCGTGACGCCGCAGCGCCGTCCTTGCGTGGCAATGCTTCATTGCCCAGAGCCGCTCTGCCAGGCCCTCTGCCAGCCCTGATTAGAGGAGCCCTCAGCGGTCGGTGGTCACCCCAGGCAAATCGAGATCTGCCTCCCCACTGTACTGGTGATAGCTGGGCCGCTTTGCACACCCCCCCCCCCCTCGATTTATTTATTAATTTGAAAGGCAGAGTTCCAGGTGGGCAGAGAGAGGGAGCTTCCCTCTGCTGGTTCACTCCCTAAATAGTTGCAGTGGCCAGCGCTGAGCCAGGCCAAAGCCAGGAGCCGGGAGCTTTCTCTGAGCCTCCCACGTGGGTGCAGGGGTGCAGGCACTTGGGCGTCCTCCGCTGCTTTCCCAGGCCACAGCAGGGAGCTGGATCAGAAGTGGAGCAGCCGGGACTCAGACCGGTGCCCTGTGGGATGCTGGTGTCACAGGCAGTGTCTTAACCTGCTGTGCCACAGCGCTGGTCCCACGTTCATTGTTTTGTTTCCATCTCAAAAGTCCCTCAAAGAGGGCCGGTGCTGTGGCATAGCGGGTAAAGCCACCGCCTGCAGTGCCAGCCAGCATCCCATATGGGCACCAGTTCGAGTCCCGGCTGCTCCACTTCCCATCCAGCTCTCTGCTGTGGCCTGGGAAAGCAATGGAAGATGACCCAAGTGCTTGGGCCTCTGCACCCGAGTGGGAGACCGGGAAGAAGCTCCTGGCTCCTGGCTTCAGCCTGGCCCAGCTCCGGCTGTTGCAGCCACTTGGGGAGGAAACCAGTGGGTGGAAGACTCTCTCTCTCTCTCTCTCTCTCTCTCTCCCCCTCCCTCTCTCTCCCTCTCTCTCCCCCTCTCCCCCTCCCTCTCTCTCTCCCTCTCTCTCTCCCTCTCTCTCTCTCCCCCTCTCCCCCTCCCCCTCTCCCCTCCCTCTCTCTCTCCCCCTCTCTCTCTCTCCCTCTCTCTCCCTGTCTCTCTCCCTCTCTCGCCCTCTCTCTCTCTCCCCCTCTCCCCCTCCCCCTCTCCCCCTCCCTCTCTCTCTCCCTCTCTCTCCCCCTCTCCCCCCTCCCTCTCTCTCTCCCTCTCTCTCCCCCCCTCTCTCTCTCCCCCTCTCCCCCTCCCCCTCTCCCCTCCCTCTCTCTCTCCCCCTCTCTCTCTCTCCCTCTCTCTCCCTGTCTCTCTCCCTCTCTCGCCCTCTCTCTCTCTCCCCCTCTCCCCCTCCCCCTCTCCCCCTCCCTCTCTCTCTCCCTCTCTCTCCCTCTCTCTCCCCCTCTCCCCCTCTCCCTCTCTCTCTCTTCCTCCCTCTCTCTCTCTCTCTCCCTCTCTCTCTCTGTAACTCTGACTTAGTCCCTCAAGTCGCTCATTTTCAAGAAGTTGAAGGAGGCCGGCTCACAGGTTAAGTATCTTAGCCCAGGTTTCCCAAGCAGCAGCGGGGGCGGGGTCTGGATTTGACCCAGGGCCGTCTCTGTGCACATCCTGCTCAGTCTGCGGGCACAGACCTGGTCCCTTCGTCACCTTGCCTGCACACCTACGGGCACCCACCTGGCCAGCAGAACACAGGCTGGACTTCAGTCTGCGGTGCCGCGTGGCCAGGCCCTGTCACGCAGTGGGCGCCCTGTGCGGCAGTGCCCAGCAACCCTGAGTGCCAGCGCAGAGCCTGGCCTGACCCAACACGCCCCAGGAGGGAAGTGGTGCAAGGCTGACTTCAGAGCAGGTGTCCTGCCGTGGCTGCCGGCCCGGCTTCCTCCAGGCAGTGCCGCCCTGTCCTCCCTTCCTTAAGCGATACATGGACGGAGGGGCGAGTGACAACGTCCCCTGCATCGACACCAGGACGACCATCACGGTGTCCCCCTTCTACGGGGAGCATGACATCTGTCCCAAAGTCAAGTCCACCAACTTCCTGCACGTGAACGTCACCAACCTCAGCCTGCGCCTCTGCCTGGGCAACGTCTACCTCATGACCCGCGCACTCTTCCCCCCGGACGTCAAGGTGAGTGGGCGGCAGGGGAGGGGCCCTCCGGCCTGCCTGGCGCTCCAGCTGCTCGCCCCGCAGACCGACAGAGCAGACCTGGCCGTTGATGGAGCGCCCCAAGCACAGCTTGGCAATGATGGCCTCCCTGCTGGCAGAGTCCCGGGGAGGGACTGGGCAGGGGGCGGGCTCACACCAACACCTTCCCACTGGAGCACACGGTGCACACCCACAGCTCGAGCTCCCGGGAGAAAGGTCTAGGCCGGGTGTCCTGCGGGCACGCGCACAGCTGGAGAGAGGAGGCAGCCGTGGTGTCCCAGTGACAGCGCGAACGGCCTTGACCTTTGCTAGGTGCAGGCTCGAGCCAGGACCACGGAAGCCCAGAGAAACTGGCGCCGTGGTGGAGCTGGGGTGCCTGCTATGTCCCCGTGGGCGGTGACGCCACAGCCCCATCCCCAGGGAAGCTCCCAGAGGGGCACCCTCGGCTCAGCCTGAGGCAGCTGTGCCGGGCTCGGGCGCGCTGGAAGCCGGGAGGGTGTTTAGCTGCGTCTGTGCGTGCAGAGGCGTCGGGGTGGCGGCTTCGTGACCGCTGCTGCTGGTTTGCTTGCAGGTGCTGGGAGAGATATGCGTTCGCGGGTACTTGGACGCGCTCAGGTTCCTGGAAGAGAACGGTACGGCAGGGCCTGCGGGTCCCCGAGCCGGGGGGTAGCTTCGTGGAGAACGGGAGCTGTGTGTGCCTCCTGGCAGCCTGTGCAGTCGCCGTCTCCCACGCGGTGCGGGCCACGCTGGCTGCACTGGTCTGTCCTCCTTGCTGGGCCAGTTCCTGGCTCACGTCCTGGCCTGCGGCTGAGGGCCTCAGGCCGCAGAAGTGTTGAGATGAACCGAATAGTGGACGTGTTGGGAGCTCCTGGCCCGCGTGTGGATGCTCTGAACTGGCCTGGCCAAGGCCAAGGAGACAGTGCGTTTAGAAGGACAGGTGCACACTTCTCTACTCAAAGGTGTCCCTTCCGCCCTTCTGGGTGCCACACAACTGGCTGTGTGCTGGGGACGCTGCAGTGCCCGGAACGCGGCCCTTGCCGGTCTCGGGGGAGCAGCGAGCGGAAGTAAGGGCGGGGGGCACGCTCACGGGAGGACCCGGGGTTCGCCCAGGCCTGGGGAAGTAGAGCCTGGAGGGTGCGAATCCACGCCGGGCACCAGGCACGGGGCCCTCAGAGGTGCAGCCTGCAAGCCACAGCTGTGGAGGCGACCTGGGGCGGGGGTACCAAGCTGGGTGGAGAAGAGCGGGCAGGATCAGTGGCCAGGGGCACGGATGGGCAGCCGGGCCTGTGGACGTGGTGGGGGTAGGGAGCCACTGAGGGTCCTGGAGCAGGCATGGGGGTGAGCAGAGAGCTTGGGCGGCCCCTGCAGCGGCAGAGCAGAGATGGGGAGACTGGCGGCCCGGAGGCCCAGGAGGCGGCCGGGGAGTGAGAAGGAGACGATTATAAGGGTCCCAGGGGGCCGGCGCTGTGGCACAGTGGGTCAAGCCGCTGCCGGCTGCACTGCCGGTGTCCCATCTGCGTGCCGGTTCGAGTCCCGGCTGCTCCACTTCTGACCCGGCTCCCTGCTGCTGGCCCGGAAAAGCAGCAGAAGACGGGCAAGTGCTCGGGCCCTGCACCCATGGCGGAGACCCGCATAGAGCTCCTGGGTTTGGCTGGCCCAGCCCTGGCCTCTGTGGCCACTGGGGAGTGAACCAGCGGATGGAAGGCTCGTGCGCTCTCATTTGACTTCCAAATAAATAAAATAAGTCTTTAAAAAAAAAGAAGGGGGACCCAATGACCGATGCGGGATGTGGGAAGAGGAAGACTCACGATGAAGGCCCAGCTCCGTCCGTCTCAGCAGCTGGGAGGGGCCAGGCCCTCAGTGGAGTGGGTCTGGCCGGACAGCTGCCGTACTGCCCGTTGGACGTCCCTCGGGGAACCCGTGTCTCCCTGGGGACAGACGGGGTCTGCCACAGGCTCGGAGAGATCCGGGGGAGCGGAAGTGTGGCAGCCGAGGTGCTGGCCCCGAGCGGCGTCCCTGGGCTTTCTTAGCCGAGGCCGGAAGCCAGGGCTGAGCCGGGCCCGCGGAGGTGCCGTGCCCCAGCCCGGCAGGGGAGTCCTGTGAGACCCGGCCGTGCGGTGTCCCTGACTCTGCCTCTTCCCGGGCTGTGCGTTGGTAAGATTGTCCTTTTTTTTATTTTTTAATATTTTATTGTTTATTTGTAAGAGTTACAGACGGAAGGAAAGACAGAGAGAGAGAGAGACATCCTCCATTCTCTGGTTCACTCCCCAGATGACCACAACAGCTAGAGCGGGGCCAGGCTGAAGCCAGGAGCCAGGAGCTTCTTCCGGGTCTCCCATGTGGGTGCAGGGCCCAAACACTTGGGCATCTTCCACTGCTCTCCCAGGCCACAGCAGGGAGCTGGATGGGAAGTGGAGCTGCCGGGCCACAACCGGCGCCCACGTGGGATGCTGGCGTCACAGGCTGCAGCTGAACCTGCTGTGGCCCCACCCAGCCCCGTGACATCAGTCCTAGATTCCAATCCTGGCTCTGCCGCGGCCCAGCTGGGTGAGGTTGGGCAAATCTCTCACCCTCTCTGCTTCGGGATCCTCAGCTGAACAAGGCAGAGGATGGCGTGGCGGCCGCGGCTGGGCTGCCTTCGGGCCTGCCGCGAGGTGCCTGCTCAGGCTTGACCGCTAGTTCAACTGCTCTTGGTGAACTCTCAGCTTTGCCTTCCAACCGCCGAACCCAGATGTGGAGGTGGGGCACAGCTGGCGAGAGGTGGAGCCGGGAGCCCAGCTCACAGCTGCGCGGCTTCGGGCGAGGCCTCTGCTGCTGGGCTGCTGTTGAGACAGTGACGGCCTGCGGTGTCCCCCGGTGCTGGCCACCTCGCTGCTGGGGGCGGAGGGGGACGCGCTGACCCCTGCTTCCCACCTGCGCCTGACGGGCTTGTCTGATTCCCCGCAGGCATCTGTAGCAGGCCCCAGCGCTGTCTGAGCCTGCCCCCCGCAGAGCAGGCACCGGAGGCCCACGCGCCGCGCGGGGAGGGCACCAGCCGGGAGCCGTCCCCCGGGCCCGAGGGGGACGAGCTGCTGCAGCACCTGCGTGCCAGCATCCTGCCCTGGGACGACGGCGTGCTGCAGACCATGTCGCCCAGGCTCACCGCAGGTGCCAGCTCGCCCGGGAGGGGGCGGGCGGGGACACCAGCTCCCAGCCACAGGGCCCTGGGCAGCCTCCGCCTCCCACCCACCCCTTCTCCCTGCCAGGCCTCCCTTCCGCAGGGTCCTGACCAAGGTGCACAGACTGCAATGACCCCCCCCCACGGGCCCCTCCCCCACCTTCCTGCTCTGCCTCCCTGGGGGGTTGTGGTTTTGTGCGGGGTCTGGGGTCCTACCTTGGGGACTCGGGCCATGCCTGCTGGTTTCACCTGCCCTCCTGTCCCCAGGCCTCCTTCCCCGTCCCCCGACCCCGTGTCCCCCCAGTGGTGCAGTATTCCAGTGTGCCGTCCACTAATGAGTGGACCCAAAATTCCGAAGGTCAAGCCCCACCCCTCTGTGGTGATGATGTCAGCAGGTGGGGACTGCGCTGATTGGGTCAGTGTCCTCCTCCCCAAGCCCCCAGAGAGGTCCTTGTCCCCCCCACCCCCTGAGGACACGGGAGGTGTGGCCACCTGCAGTGCCTCCCTGCCCCGAGACTGGAAGGTTACTGCCGTTGGCAAGGCGTCCAGCTGACGGGGGACGGCATCGGGCAGACCGACCAGCCCACAGACCAGCGTCTGAGTCGGGCAGCTGCAGAAATTCAAAGGTGGACCAGACACAGGTCCTTGAACTTGAGCTATGGATGCCCCACGAGCTGCAGCTGCCCAGGCTGACGTGATGGGAGACCTCAGGAAGAGGGGGCGGGACCAGGAAGAGGGGGCGGGACCTGGGCGAGGGGCAGGGGCTGCAGAGTCCCAGGCCGGCTGGGGTGAAGGTTCTTGGCGCAGGTGGGAGGGCTGTCTCCATGTCGCCTCTTTCAGTTCTGAACGAAACGATTAAAGACAGAGGTGGGTACCTGAGCCAGATCTGCAACCTGCTGCCCGTGAGGGTCGTGTCCTACGCAATGCTGCCCTGCACCCTGCCCGTGGAGTCCGCCATTGCCGCCGTGCGGGGGTGAGCGTCCCCTCCGCTCTGCTCTGCCTCCTCCTCCCGGGCTCGGCTGGGTTCCAGGCCCTTGGCGGTGGGAGGGCAGTGGGGGCGCCTCACACAGCGGGTGCAGCTCAGCCCCCAGGCAGTGGCCCGGAAGTTGCTCTCCTGTCCTGATCTGTCTCGCTGTGGGAGCTCCGGACCCCTGGGGACTTAGGAGCTGGCGCTGGCCTTGGGTGGCTGGGGAGACGGAGGCCTGGAGAGGTGGGGGTCGCGGCTCTGGGCCACGGAGCTGAGTAGTTGGGCGGTCCGGAAGCGGGGTCCTTGCTGCCCCTGGAGCCGGTTTGTCTTTCCGAGCACACGAGCGTGGTAGAGCGTAGGGCAGTCCCATCTCTGGTTCCAGACTTGGTTCCTTAAGACCACTGTCAGCCGGCAGGAGGGCAGAGTGGGCGTCCCCAGAACTCGCCGACGCCAGGCAGAGCGGTCAGCAGCTCAGCCGCACCCAGACGCCCCCGGTCCCGTCCCGGCAGTGTGAGCCCGGACAGTGGAGTCTGCCCCTCTGTGCCGCAGCTCCCTGGCCCTGGCACAGGGCGTGAGAGGAGGCTGCCAGGCCCTGGGCATGAAGGGCGCCTCCTGGAGGAGGCTGCCAGCCAGCGAGTGAGGCCATTGCTTCCTCTTCTCTGTCCTCAGTACTGAGAGCCACAGCCAGGTGACCGACCAGCGGGGCCTGCGGTTTCTAAGCTGTGCGACCTCAGGCCAGTGGCCCGACCTCTCTGAGCTGCAGTGGTCTTGGGTGTGATTTGCGGTTAGGACGCCCGGTGGGTTACTGAGAAACGGGAGGCACTTGGTGAGAAACGGCATCGTCCTGATCTGACCGTAAACAAGACCAGAGCTAAGAGAAGCCGAGAACGGGGGTCAGGGAAGCGGAACCAGCAGCCTGGCGGCACGAGGAGGCACAGGCGCCCAGGTGCCACAGAGCGCTTGGGACTTGGCGGCCCGGTGCCAGGTTCCGTGTTTGTGAGGGAGGGGACTGGATTCGGGCTCTGGGACCCTGAGAGGGAGCACGCGCTGACCCACGGGATCCTCGGGAGGTCCTGGCCCCGACCCGCCTGGGGTCTCCATGCTCACTGCGTCGGGGTGGGTCCTGCTGCTCTCGTCTTTCCTGGGCCTCCCACCTTCCTGCTTCTCGGGGTCTCGAGTGGCTCCCCGGAGACGTGCACACGGTGGCTGTGTGAGCGCCAGGCCGCGGGCCTGTCCACATGGCGTCCGGCTGTGGCATGGCTGCGGTGGCCTGCAGGGGGCACGTCGCTTCCTCCCGGGGTGTGGAGACGCGGCTCCGTCCTGGGTTGTGAACCGGGGTCCGGCGCTGGCCGCGTCCTGCTTTCTCTTCAGATGCCGGGGACCTGGGCCGGACACGGCTGGGCCTGGGCACGAGTCCCTTTCACTCGCTGGCCAGCCCTGGGGCGTGGCCTCCCAGTGTGACGTCCATGGCTCCTCCTGCTCTCGGGGCCCTCGTGAGGTGTTTGACCTCCTGGGTTGGGTTCCTGTCTGTCTCCTTCTCTCCCTCTTTCCTGATTCTCCATCTCTCTTTGCCTCTTCACCTCTGGGTTCGTCTTCTGTGAGCTGTTACTCTCGGCTCACCCAAACTGGCAGTGTCCACCTCCCGGGAGCACGTCCGTGCAGGACGCGGGGTGACACGGGGCGACACTGGCAGCGTCCCTCTATGACAGCCGCGCCATGTTCACGCTGTGCTGGGCTCGCCCTCGTGCCGACACGCCGAGCACACGTGTGTGGACATGTGCACCTGCGTGGTGAGTGTGTACGCGCACAAGCACATGGTGGTGTTGGGGTGTTCTGCAGACTGGTGCTGTGGCTCCCCGACCTCCCCGACGACGTCCAGTGGCTGCAGTGGCTGGTGTCCCAGATGTTTGCCTGCTTGACCTCGTGTCTGCTCCCTGCCTCCAGGTAAGCGCCCGGGCTGCAGGCGTGTGTGCCAGGTGGGCACCCCTCTCCTCCAGTGGGACCTCCCACGGTGTCCTAGGAACACCTGGGCGCTCCCCGAGTGGTGGGCTCTGCTCTGTGGGAGGCGGCCGAGCCCCCAGAGGGCCCAGGGCACCCGCTCAAATCCGTGGCCCAGGCCGACCTGCACAGCAGCTGGCAGCCCCCCGTCGGGTGTGGCCACTGGTGCCCCCTGCTGGAAGGAGGAGAGAGCTCGACCAGGAAGCAGGGGCAGGGGTGAGGGCGGAGGTCAGGAGCCAGACAGCACGAGGGGTGGGGCCCGAGAGTGGCTGTGACAAGGGAGGAGTGGGCCGGGTCAGGGCAGGACGGGGTGCCTTTACTGCAGATCCCCTGCCTCCCACCCTGGACGTGGGGATCGCAGCCGCGAGGTGGGGCTGGCAGTGCATTCTGGGAGGTGCCGCTGCCTCTGAATGCGGCCCAGAGCCAGAGGCCCTCACTCCGGTGCAAGGATCGGGCCTCGTCCTGAAGACCACGGGCCTCGGTCTCCTCCCTGTTCGATGGGGGTGCACCTCGTGCTTCTGTCGGGCTTCTGGGAGGTTGTGGGAGCCTGTGGCACAGCACGTGGCACCTGGCACGTAGCAGGCCCTCGGGAGAGGGGCCTCCGCTGCGTGGTGTTACTGTGGGCAGATGTGGAAGGATTAGGGAGTGGAAGGATCCGCTTTGCGTTGGGAGCGTGGCCACGTGGACACGTGGCCGTGTGACCGTGGCCATGGCCCTGGCTGGCAGCAGGCTCCGCAGCAGAAGGACGCGGGGGCCGGGCCTCAGCAGACCCTGTGGGGCCTTCAGCTGCCCTGGGCTCCCAGGATAGCGGGAGGTGTCGGTTGCAAGCTCCGTGGGGCAGCAGCCTGGGGCCTGGTGGACACAGCGGCTCCAGGCAGAGGTGGCGACCCTGGCAGGCGAGCTGGTTTACACGAGGGAGCCGATGGACGCTGTCAAGGGCTTGGCGATGGGCAACGCCTGTGCACGTCCAGCGGCTGGGAGGGCCCTGGGCTTGGAGGAACAGGATGGCGCCATCAGCCCAGCTCAGCGCCGAGGGCCGGAACAAGCCGTGGCTCTGGGCTGGGCCAGCTCCGGCGCCCAGGGTGTGCAGGGCAGCGGGCTCCGCGGCCAGCAGTGTGGGCCGGGCACCGGCTGCGGCGCTAGCTTGCTTTCTTTGTTGCAGATCCCAAAGGCGGAGGAGTGGCCAGCACGCCTCCCTGCAGGCCAGAACATGACTCGCTGGGCCCCTGTGCCCCTGCACCTGGACGCCTGCGCCAGTGGGGACCGAAGCCGGGGCTGCCGGCCCTCCGTCCTCGGGTGCAGCTGAGCTGCTCGGGGAGCAGAGACCTGCTGGGCGCGGCGCCGTCTCCCTACTTTCCCGCGGGATGAGTCTCGGGTCAGCGGAGGAGGCAGGTCTGGGAACTGTGTGTGCGGCTACTCTGCCCACAGTTTCGGGCGGGAAGCCAGCCCCCCGTGCGAGCCCATGGTTTACTGAACCCGAGGGCGATGGACTTGGTCTCAGGGAAAGCTAGCCGGCCGCTTACGGTGTCGGTGCTGGTCCACTGCTTAGGGAAACCCAGCGTGATGGCAGCATTAGCGCTGCTGGCTGTGGCGGGGCCCCAGGATGGCCTTCAGAGCCCGCTGAGGGGTGGACACTCCCAGTGGGGGTGGCCAGAGTGGCCGGTGATTGGGGTCTGGCCTGGCCTCTGTGCCATCTCGCGGGCTGGAAGGATGACAGGGGCCACGCGTCCCCTCCCCCTGCAGGAAGCCGTCCGGGCACTGGGGAGGCACGGTCGGTCCCAGGAGGCCGCCCCACCTGTCAGGTGCTCTTAGACGACAGTAGCTCAGGACATTCTCAGCACACGTTTCTGGCTTAGCTGAGATATTTCGCAGAGTTCATATCATAAGCGTAAGGGGATTTCTTCCTTTGTTGGGTCGTGTGTTCTGTCAATCCGGGAGTTAATAATCAATAAACCCACCTTTGAAAGCCTCTACAGCGCATGGCCGCCCCTACCCCCCGGTGCAGCCGAGCACAGAGCTGGGTTCACTTCCCTTCTTCCTCCGCAGCCCTGGACTTGAACTTGGCTCGTTTTCTGCAAGCTCCGGCCGGGTTCTCTTTCTCTTGCGTTCTCTCCGTCCTGTGTCCCCCAGCCTAGCACCCGGGAGCACTCGGCAGGGAGCCCGCCAGCTCCCAGTGGGGTAACTTGTCAGTGCGCCCATGACCGGGGGGCACGTGTGTGTTGTCTGCTGCGTGTGTGGGAGGTTAACGATGCTCACACTCCGGGTGCTGGCCAGGGCAGTGGGCAGCCTCCCCAGGTCCTGGGCCACCTGCAGCGGGAGGAGCAGCAGTTCAGGCCAGCACCTCGTCCAGGCCGGTCCCCTTGGCAGTGGAGCCCTGACACAGCTGCACGAAGGTCCTTCCCCGGCTGAGCAGCGGGAACAGGAAGCCCCTCACTGCTGCCTCCCAGGGTCTCAGCAGCAGGGGCTGGAGTCAGGCGTCGGAAGCCAGGTTCAACCGCATGCAAACACCTGTCCCATTCCACTGGGGGAGGGTTGTACGGACCCAGTCAGTGGGTAGGGGCAGGCGGCCCAGGCCCCCAGAGCCACAGGCTGGAGGTCCTGAGAGTGAGCGAGGCCTCCCAGGAGGCAGGCAGCCGCCGAGCCCAGCCCCGGGAGGCAGAGGCCGCGTCTGGGCCGGGGGCGCGGGTGAAGCCACCTCACTGTGGCCGCCTGGAGGCACCGGCCAGGCAGGGCCCTCGGGCAGCTGCGGTGTTGGGAGCGGCGCTGGGCTCCTTGGAAGGACACGAGACAGAAGAAGCATTTTAGAAATCGCGTTTACTGTGTTGTTTTTGATACTGAAAGGGACGCGTGTCGCTCACCATGGCAATCGGCAACACAGAGCAGCCCGAGAAGTAAAACAGTCGTGGGAACAACGGTGGTGCGGTAGCTGCCGTGTCACTGCCTGTCCCCTGAGGCTCCAGTGTGCGTGCACACGCACTGCTGCACACACACACTGCCCCTTACACACTCACTGCACACACACTTCCCCGTACACTCTCACTACACACACATGCTCACTACATACACTCACTGCTGCACACACACTGCCCCTTACACACAGCACACACACGCTCACTGCACACTCACTGCCCCTTACACGCTCACTGCACACACACACGCTCACTACACTCACTGCTCCATACACGCTCACTGCACACACACACTGCCCCTTACACACTGCACATGCACACTCATAGCCCTGCTCCACACCAACTGCTGGAGACAGCCGCTCTCTGACATCCAGTACTGCACGTGGGCACAGTTCTGAGGGGAGACGCCCAGGCGGGGGTTTGACAATGCGGGGAGGGGTTCAGGAGGCGTTGCCTGGGTGATGAGAAACAGCAGAGGTGGGGGCGCACCTGAGGCCCAGGTGTGGAGGCAGGCACGGCCATTTCTCTTACATGTTCCCGCCGGAGTGCCGGCAGATCCTCCCGCAGCCGCTCCTCGGAGCCGCTGGACGGGGCTAAGCCGACGTCTGCCCGGGGCCCGCTACTCTGAAATGACAACTGAATAGGACTGGGACGAATCTGCAATCCGAGATCTTTAAATGTTGGGCAGAAGCGTCCGAGCTCCCACGTTTCTGTCCCAGGATTTATAGTGGACGACGTGGCCCCCGTGAGAGGCCGTGACTTGTGACCCGGTCAGTCTGCAGCCCAGTTCCTGTCCCAGCTGGCGGCCCAGGCCCAGAAGCCTCCTTGCCTGGGCCCAGCCCTGCCCCCTCCCCAGGCTGGACCAGCTTTCCAGGCTTAGAAACTTTGGAAACACCTATGCAGTTTTTTTTTTTTTTTTTTTTTTTTTAATGAGGGGCTCCTAAACCGGATGGGTCCAAGGCCTCCAGAACACACAGGGCAACGGTGCTGGGGGTGGGCGGACGCTGAAGGCCAGACACTGCTGGGCAGCACAGCCATGGATCGGCGTCCGGGGCAGAAGGAGCAAGGGGACCCGGGACAGGGAGGGAGGTGCCACCTGCGACGCCAGCACCCAGCAGAGCAGTGGGGCCGGCTGCTTCCCTTCTGATCCAGCTCCTGCTAACGCACCTGGGAGGCCGCAGATCATGTCCCAAGTGCGCGGGGCCCTGCACCCACGCGGGAGACCTGGACGGAATCCCGGGTTCCCGGCTTCGGCCTGGCCCAGCCCTGGCTCCTGCAGCCATTTGGGGAGTGAACCAGCAGATGGAATATCGCTTTTTCTATCTCCCTGCCTTTCAAATAAAATAACTCAAAAAAAATTTTTTTAATCTGCTTTTCGCCATAGCTTCCCTCTGGATTCCAGAGCCGCCTTCCCTCCTGCTTCCTGGAGGCAGCTGGCCGCAAGGGTCAGCTATCCATTGTCACTTATCCATTATCACTAATCACTAAGTGACCACTATCACTAACGGTCACTTATCCATTGCGTACTAAGCGACCACCCACGGGACCCCCCGGGAAGCAAAGACGCCCCTCATCTTCATTTTGACATCAACGAAACCGGGCCTCCGGGGGTGCCGGCGACTCGCAGGGTCCCCGCAACCGGGGAGCTGGGGCGCCAGCCTGGGCCGGGCAGCGCCGGTGTCCACGCACCCGACCGGGGAGGCCGCGGGCCGGGCTTCACCTGCACGGCGCCCCCTCGAAAGGGGTGCCAGGAGGGCGGAGACGGACCCGTGTGGAGCCCCAGGGCACCCACCGGCTCGCCTCCCCTCTGCCAGGCGCCGGCGACCGCCGCCCGGGCGCCCGCGAGCTCTCACGCGGACCCACGCTCCGAGCGCCCGGGAACTCCGCGCAGGAGCCCCTTCCCGGCAGCACTGCGTCCCAGCGTCCGTGTGAACTTCCGGGTCACGGGCCACACGGACCAATGAGCGAAGACGCAGTGAGCCAGGGGGCGGGGAAAAAGGCGGGGCATCATGGCAGCGCCCTGTGCCCCGCGTCCAGGGCCTTGTGGGACGCGCCCTGACCCGCGGCTCGGCCACCGCTGAGTCGCCCTCGGCCCTCAGAAGCCGAGCGTGGATCGAGCCCGGGCGGCCGTGCGAGGCGACAGCTGGAGAGGGAGCCATGGGGACGGTGCACGCCCGGGTAAGAGGCGCAGCCGCCCGCGGACTGCCTGACCGCTGTGGGCGGCCGGACGGGCGGGAGACGCTCCCGGGGCTGCGGCCGGGCTTCGCGGCTGAGCGCGGCGGGGCCGGGTGCGGGTGGCCGCCGAGGTTCCGCGGGGCGGGGACGGGGCAGGGAGCGCGGTGCCCAGCGGAGGGACGCGACTTGCCGAAGGTCGCTGGGCGAGCCTCCGCGGTGACCCCGGCGGGGCGGACGCGCCCTCGGCCGGGCCGGGTGTCCCGTCCGCCGCCCTGCGCTTGGCCTCCTGCCGCCTCTCTCGCCGCGGCCGGGGTGGGAGTCGTGCGGGGCCGTTGCGGGCCAGGCCGTGGGGAGGCGGAAAGCCGTCGGTGCGCGGGGTCTGCGGGCGGGTGGGTGGGCCGGGGGGCTCCCTCCTCGGCTCGGGAGGGCCCAGGCCTTGGGGTGGGGGTGCGTGGGGCCCTCTGCGCTCTCCTGGTGGCCTGGCAGCCCAGACGGGAAACCGGCGTGGGCTCCGCGGTGCGCGCTGGGTGGCGCTGGGGGCCTTGGTGCAGGAACTCGTGTCCCGGTGCGCTGCCCCGGGCGCCCGGAGCGTGCCCGCTGCTTGGCCGCCCGCCGTCCCGGAACGGAGTCGCCACGGAGGGCCGCAGGAGGCGCTCCTGGTCCAAGGTCACCCAGTTAGAGCCCCGGGAGGCGCTGGGACCCAGCCCGCCACCCACGGGGCCTTGGTGCGCGGCCGGTTCGCTTCCAGCAGGTCAGCACAGGCCTAGTGTCCTGGGGCCTTGCTGCCCAACACCAGGGCGCGTCCCCCAAGCCCCTCGGAGCGGGCCGCGGCGCCGGGCGCCCCCTGCGCCCCCCGCCCCCCCACCGCCTGCAGCTCTGGGCTCTCAGCCACCTCCCGCAAGATCCCGCTCCCTGGCCTGTGGCTGCGGCCCACGCTTTCTGCCTCTTCTCAGCTCCCTTTGCGGTTTCGTCTCGGGCTGTCAGGTTCTGAGTCCTGGGCGTTACAGTGGACGCCGCGTCTTGCGCAGTTTGCGTCCCTGGTGGCGTCTTGAAGTGAACGTGCGTGTGCTCAGCTGATGGCCTACTGTGTGCCTGGCATGCCCCCACCCACACCAGCGATTTTATTTATTTATTTGAGAGGTAGAGTTACAGAGAGAGAGAGAGAGAGAGAGTCTTCCATCCGCTGGTTCACTCCCCATTTGTCCGCAACGGCTGGAGCTGTGCCGATCTGAAGCCAGGAGCCAGGAGCTTCCTCCGGGTCTCCCACGTGGGTGCAGGGGCCCAAGCACTTGGGCCATCTTCCACTGCTTTCCCAGGCCATAGCAGGGAGCTGGATTGGAAGTGGAGCAGCCAGGACTCAAACCAGCACCCAGATGGGATGCCAGCACTGCAGGTGGTGGCTTTACCCATTACACCACAGCGCTGGCCCCTATAGCTACCCTAATACGAATTTTAGTTCTAAAAATTAGGATACTGTGCATAACAACAGGAAAGCAAGCTGATTGGCTGATTGGTTGGTTGGCTAGCTGGTTGGTTGGTTGGTTGGTTGGTTGGCTGGCTGGTTGGCTGGTTACCTGGTTGGCTGGTTGGCTGGTTACCTGGTTGCCTGGCTGGCTGGCTAGTTGGCTGGTTGGTAGGCTGGTTACCTGGTATGCTGGTTGGCTGGCTGGCTGGCTAGTTGGCTGGCTGGTTGGTTGGTAGGCTGGTTACCTGGTTGGCTGGTTACCTGGTTGGCTGGCTGGCTGGCTGGTTACCTGGTTGGCTGGCTGGTTACCTGGTTGGCTGGGTGGCTGGCTGGCTAGTTGGCTGGCTAGTTGGCTGGCTGGTTGGTTGGTAGGCTGGTTACCTGGTTGGCTGGTTACCTGGTTGGCTGGCTGGCTGGCTGGTTACCTGGTTGGCTGGCTGGTTACCTGGTTGGCTGGCTGGCTGGCTGGTTACCTGGCTGGCTGGCTGGTTGGCTGGCTGACTGGCTGGCTGGTTCCTGCTCCCTGACCTCTGCTTCCCCCCCCCCCAGAGTTTGGAGCCCCTCCCGTCCAGTGGGCCGGATTTTGGAGCACTAGGAGAAGAAGCGGAATTCGTTGAGGTTGAACCTGAAGCCAAACAGGAAATCCTTGAGAACAAAGACGTGAGTTTTCTGTTGCAGGGCTCGCTGTGGGCCTCCCTGGGAGCGCTCACTCCGTCAGCCGCTGGGGCGTGAGCACACCTGTCACGGTGTCCTTGCAGCCGAGCGTTTGTCCCCACGGTGCCGGTGCCGCGTCTAGTTCCAGAGAGGCCCCGCCTTGGCGAGCGCTCAGGCAGATCCGTTGTCGTGTTTGTGTCATTACAAAACCCAGAAGCGTTCGAGGACAAACGAAAATGCTTACGATTGTGTTTCTGACCTCTGCTCCTGGGGAAAGCCCTGGGTCTCACGGGAAACTCCTCCTCAACGTCTGCCCTTGAGACGTGGGGCACACGCCTCTCCACTGGCGAGGAGCTTACTTCCGGAGAGCAGGGGCGTCCTGCAGTCGGCGGGCACCGTGCTGTGGGACATGCACCCGCGACCTCGAGCCGGCTGACGGCCGCTGACTCCGGGGTCCCGGCCGGCGGCCACCTGCGGCCTGCTTGCTGCTCAGGGAGCCTGTGTGGCCGCCTGGGCCGTCCCGGCCGCCTGGCTGGGGAGACTTGGTAGATCTGCAAGAATGTGTGGGCTAGGAAGGCGTGAGTCCAAGGGGCCAGGCTTCTGAGAAAGTCTGAAAGCGGAGAATGAGGTGCAGAGTAGGAGGTGGGGTTGTCAGACGCGAGAAAGCCCGGGAAGTCGCTTCCGACGCTGTCCCAGGGGCGCGGCCCCGTCTCGGCTTGAGCCGGTCATGGTAATCGCTGTCCTCGTGTCGCATAGGTGGTGGTGCAACACGTTCATTTTGATGGACTTGGGAGGACGAAGGACGATATCATCATTTGTGAAATTGGAGATGTTTTTAAGGCTAAAAACCTTATTGAAGTAAGTATGATTTTTTTTAAAGATTTACTTATTTTATTTGAAAGGCAGCATTACAGAGTGAGAAAGACAGAGATCTTCCATCTGCTGGTTCAGTCCCCAAGTGGCTGCAGTGGCTGGAGCCAGGCCAGACAGAAGCCGGGAGCCAGGAGCTTCTTCCAGGGCTCCCACGTGGGTGCAGGGGCCCACACACTTGGGCGTCTTCCACTGCTTTCCCAGGTGCTTTAGCAGGGAGCTGGATGGGAAGTGGAGCAGCCAGGACATGAACGGGTGCCCGTATGGGATGCTGGCGTCACAGACAGCAGCCTTACCCACTGGGCCACGGTGCTGGCGTCCTCCTGTGTTCTTTCTGACTCCCTGGACCCTTTGGGTGGGGCCCGCCTCTGTCCCTCCCCCGTTTTCTTCCCTTTCTCCTCTCCTCTCTGGTCCCTCTGACCTCTGACCTGCTGAGCGGGCCTAGGTGGAGGTTGCCAGCAATCCTGTGGCCGGGCCCACGCTGGCTCTTCCTGCGCTTGGTGATTTGTCCTTGGAGCGGCTTGGGCACTCTGACCATCCCACTCGAACTCTGTATTTTTATAAGATTAATGTGGGAAAAGCAGGAACACTCAAATGCCACAGAGTTTACTGGGATTGAGGGTGCGCCTGTCCTCCTGCGGCCGGCGCCCGTCCAGTGCAGGGGGCAGGGCTGCGGGTGTCCCCGCCTCCGTCCAGAGGCTGCGCGCATGGACAGGCACGGCCTGGAGACACTGACCCCATCCTCGGGGCTCTCCCGCTGCGTCCTCCCTGGCGCGGATCGCGGGGCTCTGTGCAGCAGCGTGCGCCCCTGTGCCAGCTGTGCTCGCCCTGCTGTGTGGGCCTCCGTCACGTCTGTGAGGTGCCCTGCGTGGACGTCTGCGCTGGCCTCTCCTCGTGTGACGCGGGGCTGCTCTGATGGCGCTGACCTCCGGCCCCCGGCTCGGCCCAGAGCTCAGGTTCTGACAGCTGTCTCTTGTGACTGCTATGGTCGGCGACAGCGTCCTCTGGCCCTGCGTCTGTCTTCCTCTCCAGCCTCACAGCCTGGGCCGCACCCACGCACTGACCCCCTGGGGAGGTCTGGTCCTGTGTCCCCGCAGGGAGACTACACTGCCCCGTCACACAGGCCTCCCCCTCCCTCCCCCTGCCCTCAGAGAGGACCGCCGCTGGCAGTGAGGAGAGGAACAAAGGGGAACCGTGGGTAGGGACAGTGGGACGGGGCAGGGACGCAGCGAGGCGAGCTCACGGCCCCGCTCCGTGGCACCGCCGTCGCCGCTGTCGGCGCCCCCTGCAGTGAGGGCCGTGCCCGTGCGGCCCTCGTGCCCGGGTCGGTGTCGCGCTTCTCAGGAGGCGCGTGGTCGTCCCCGCGGGGCTCCCGCTCGCTCCACAGCCGGCCTGGCTGCTGCAGCCTCTGGTCAGCGGCTTGGTGCCGAGCGGTGACCACCCGCCTGGTCACTGGGCCCCGTCTGTGTGCTGTGTCGTAGGAAGACGCAGCGTCTGCTTCCCTCCCCCTCAGGTGATGCGGAAATCACACGAAGCCCGCGAGAAGCTGCTCCGCCTGGGGATTTTTCGGCAGGTGGATGTTTTGATTGACACGTGTCAAGGTATGTGTGTGCGGCGGTCCGCGAGTCCTCCGTCCGTCCTCCCGGTCCCAGCCCTGACGGTGCATCCGGCGCACGGGCTTGGTGACCAGGTCTCGGGGAGGGACCTGGACTCCTTATCTTTTGACTGTTTATTGGGAAGAGTGAGAGGGAGACACCCCCAAACGCCCCTGACGTCCCGGGCTGGGCTGGCTGAAGCCGGAAGCTCTGTGGGTGGCAGGGACACCCCCAAATGCCCCCGACGTCCCGGGCTGGGCTGGCTGAAGCCGGAAGCTCTGTGGGTGGCAGGGACCCCCGCGTTGAGCCATCACCTGCTGCCCCCCAGGGAGCATCCGCAGGAACTGGCATCAGGAGCAGGAGCCGAGCCGGGCGCTCTGTGTGGGATGTGGCGTCCGAAGCAGTGTGCTAACCTCTGTGCCAAACGGCTGCGCCAGGACCCGGGGCGGGTGCTGGTGTGCAAGCCCCTGACCGCACTGTGCTGCCCAGAGAGGCCCTCGTGGAGGGAGCCAGGCCGCACTCAACCGTGCCAATCCGGCGCTGCACAGGGTCTCGCTAGACACCGTCTAGATGTGTGGCCTGGGCGGTGCTGGGGCGTAGTGGGCTGGCCTCCGCCTGCAGTGCCGGCATCCCATATGGGCACCGGGTCGAGTCCCAGCTGCTCCTTTCCTGACCCAGCCCTCTGCTGTGGCCGGGGAAGGTGGTAGAGATGGCCCCAGTGTTTGGGTCCCTGCACCCATGTGGGAGACTGGAAGAAGCTCCTGGCTCCTGGCTTCAGATCTGCCCAGCTCTGGCCGTTGTGGCCATTTGGGGAGTGAACCAGTGGAAGGATAGGACTTTTCTCTCTCTAACTCTATCTCTCAAATAAATAAAAATCTTTTAAGAAAATAAAACAAAATCTTAAAATAAATAAATAAATAAAAATTAAATAAATAAAATGTTTAAAAAGTGTGGCTTGAAAGAAGGGAATCAAGAGTCCTGTCTTGGCTTGTGTTCACGTTCTCGTGCGCTGAGTGACACGGACACGTCCCCTGACTGGTCAGTGTTCATTCGGTCATTAGTGAGCACCTGCTGTATACCTGACCCTGTGCGGACAGCAGGGGAGCTGCAGCTGCAAGCCAGGCCCAGTGCTTTGAGGGGAGCGTCCGGGTGGGGGTAGAAGGGAGTGGTCACCTCCCCTGTTAAAAGGAGCTGAGGGGGGATGGGCCTCCTGGCTGGGCAGAGAACGGGAGCAGGGGGATTTTCCCGGAGGGCTGACCTGTGAGCTGCGCCTGGGTTGGTGTGGGAGCGGGGAGGGCTGGCGCTTACCAGGCCCAGGGCCGCAGAGTGGCTTGTGGGCTGGGGCAGCGCTGCAGGTGCAGGGGTGAGGGAGGGACGCGAGGTCAGGGAGGAGGTGATGAGGGGCGCAGACAGACGAGGCGGGGTGCAGCTCTGCAGGGTTCGGCTGGGCGCTGCTTTGAGAAGACCAGGTGAAGCGCTGAAGGCGCGTGCAGACAGCCAGGGCGCTGTGGGAAGGAGACAGGAAGGAAGAGCCACGCGCCCGCAGCCGAGGCCCAGGGGGCAGCGCGCAGCTCGTGAGCTGGGGCTACGGGGTAGCTGCGTCCCTGAGGTCACCCCGATGGCGTGGTTTTGCCTGGGTGTCCGCCCTTTGTCTTCCCCGGGTCCCCGATGGCTGAGCGCGCGGCCTTGCTCCAGCCTCGGGGCGATGGGGGGGGGGCAGGAAGATGGACAGGGCACAGCACCCTGCGGCCACCTGTCCCGGGTGTTGTGCTCAGCACTCCCTCACCCCATTGGCCGGGACCTGTCACGTGACCATGCACGTGCCGGGGAGGCTGGAGGCCACCTCGGTTACAGTGAGGGATCAGGAGGAGCAGACCAGTTCTCAGTGTGGTCCCGACCGGCAGCGCGGCGCCCGCTGGGAGCCTGGGGCACGGACTTGGGCGTCGGGGCCCTGCCGGTGAATCTGCTGTGTGGCTCAGCCTGGGCCCCGCTGGCTGGCAAAGGGGAGCAGAGGTGGGGGGGCGCCGCACCCTGGGGAGCAGGAGGGCCCGCACCTGAGTGGCACCGCAGTGAGCGTGCCCGGCCTTACCCCTCAGACGCCTGCCGAGGCAGCACCGCCGTCGTTTCTACAGCGTTTTCAGCTGGCGGAAGCGAGGCGTGGCGAGGCGTGAGTCCCGCCCCGGGTGCAATCCTGCGCCCAGGCCTGAGCCACTCCGGTGCTTCTCGCCGCGGCGTTTGCTGGTGGCATTTGGTTCTCGCTCTGCTCTCCCGGTCGCAGACAGGGCCGTGGACGAGCTCAGCTGCTCCGCCTCGGCAGTGGCTCCACGCCGGCCGCACCTCGGAATCTCCTAGAAGGGCTTCACGGAGCGAGCTTGCGTGTGCTGCCCGGGTGCTGTCCCGTCTGCGCCGTCCGTGCCGAGAGCGGCCCCTGGAAGCCGGGGGCTCGCGTGAGCAGGAAGCTGCGATTTTGGTTCATGGCTGAGCAGATGTGGGGCAGAATGTGAGGGGTTAACAGCACGTGAGGAACAGTCGGGGTGGGGAGGGAGAGCCTCATGGGAGCTCCCCTTGCTCTCTGCCTTTGCGTTCTGCACACCTAACACTGGGGGGGGGGGTAGAGGTCTTCCATAGCTTGTTCACTCCCCAGTGACTGCAAGGGCCAGGGCTGGGCCAGCCACAGCCGGGAGCTTCCTCCAGGGCTCCCACGTGGGTGCAGGGGCCCAGGCACGTGGGCGTCCTCCACCGCTTTCCTAGGTCGTTAGCAGGGAGCTGGATCGGGAGTGGAGCAGCCGGGAATGCCCATGTGGGACGCTGGCCCTGCAGGCGTCAGCGTAACCCGCTGCCACAGCGCCGGCCACCGATGCTGCATCTGAAGTCAGTCAAGAGGCCGGTGTTGTGGCCAGCAGGTGGAGGTGCCCCGGGACACCGGGACTCGTTACCAGAGGCGCCCGTTCCAGTCCTGGCTGCGCTGCTTCCCTTCCGGCTCCCTGCAGTGGGAGGTGGTCCCCTTCCCCTTATGCGCCTTTCAAGTAGTAACCGTTCAGAACACGACTCGGAACCACCCCGCGCCTGGCAAGTGTGCACAGCCTCCTCCTCGTAGCTGGCGTGTGCACATACAGGCTGTTATAGACCTCGCACCCTGTGCACAGAGCGGCTCACAGACACTGCGTGGAAGCCAGAGGGGCTGCTGGGGGGGGTGCTCCGATTCTGGGGGGGGTGCTCCGATTCTGGGGGGATAGAAGGAGGCTGTTTGAGTGTGGAGGGTGCTCTGATTCTGGGGGTGCTCTGATTCTGGGGGGGTTCTGAGAGGGGTAGAAGGAGGCTGTTTGAGTGTGGAGGGTGCTCTGATTCTGGGGGGAGCTCTGATTCTGGGGGGAGCTCCGATTCTGGAGGGTGCTCTGATTCTGGGGGGAGCTCTGATTCTGGGGGTGCTCTGATTCTGGGGGTGCTCTGATTCTGGGGGGGTGCTCTGATTCTGGGGGGAGCTCTGATTCTGGGGGTGCTCTGATTCTGGGGGGGTGCTCCGATTCTGGGGGGGTGCTCCGATTCTGGAGGGTGCTCTGATTCTGGGGGTGCTCTGATTCTGGGGGTGCTCTGATTCTGGGGGGGTGCTCTGATTCTGGGGGGGTGCTCCAATTCTGGAGGGTGCTCTGATTCTGGGGGTGCTCCGATTCTGGGGGGGTGCTCCGATTCTGGAGGGTGCTCTGATTCTGGGGGTGCTCTGATTCTGGGGGTGCTCTGATTCTGGGGGGGAGCTCTGATTCTGGGGGTGCTCTGATTCTGGGGGTGCTCTGATTCTGGGGGGAGCTCTGATTCTGGGGGTGCTCTGATTCTGGGGGGTGCTCTGATTCTGGGGGGTTCTGAGGGGGTAGAAGGAGGCTGAGGGTGGGGGTGTGTTCTGATTCTGTGGGGGACGGTGCATCCTCCAGAGAAGCCTGCAGAGAGAGTGAACCTTGTTTGATTTTTCCGCTTCCACAGCGGGACCAGTAGGAGACGTTCTGGCTGTCTCACTGCTTCCCTTTTTCTGTTCACGTAGGCGATGACGCCCTTCCCAACGGCTTGGACGTCACCTTCGAGGTGACCGAGTTAAGGAGGCTGACGGGCAGCTACAACACCATGGTGGGGAACAACGAAGGCAGCATGGTACGGACTGCTCTGCCCTCCTGCAGGTGGCGCCCTGCGCTGGGCCTGCAGGTGGCGCTGTGTGCTGGGCCTGCAGGTGGCGCTGTGCTCTGGGCCTGCAGGTGGCGCTGTGTGCTGGGCCTGCAGGTGGCGCCCTGCGCTGGGCCTGCAGGTGGCGCTGTGTGCTGGGCCTGCAAGTGGCGCTGTGTGCTGGCTGGGCCTGCAGGTGGCGCTGTGTGCTGGGCCCGCAGGTGGCGCTGTGCTCTGGGCCTGTATGTGGTGCTCCACTTTGGGCCTGTAGGTGGCACTGTGTGCTGGGCCTGCAGGTGGCGCTGTGCGCTGGGCCTGTAGGTGGCGCTGTGTGCTGGACCCGCAGGTGGCGCTGTGTGCTGGGCCTGTATGTGGTGCTCCACGTTGGGCCTGCAGGTGGCGCTGTGTGCCGGGCCTGCAGGTGACTCCCTGCGCTGGGCCCGCAGGTGGCGCCCTGCGTCCTGGGAGCTGAGGCAGCCTCAGAACTTCCCGTCCCGGCACCGTGTCTTGAGCCTGCTGGAGTTGGGGCTGTTGCGGGTCTGATGCGTTATTTAGCGTCAGTGGTTGGAGTAGCGGGGAACCTCTCGCTCGGGTCCCTTCCTGCAGGGCTGCAGGGCTCACTGCCTAGAGCGGCCCAGTTGGCAGGGTCTGCGTGTGGCTGGCACCGGTCGGCTCCGTGTGTAGGGGGCGTGTGCTCGCACGGGCGTGCCAGGAGGGGAGGCGCTGTGAGCAGGAGGGGCGGCTCTCTGGGCTGCAGTCGGTACTGGGTCACGGAGTCTCCGGCTGCCCCGAGGTGGAGAGCCGCGCCCTTCCTGCAGTCGGGCCACTGGGGTTTTTTCTTCTTCCTAGGTTCTTGGCCTTAAGCTCCCGAATCTCCTAGGGCGTGCGGAAAAGGTGACGTTCCAGTTTTCCTACGGAACAAAGGAAACTTCGTACGGCCTGTCCTTCTTCAAACCACAGCCTGGAAACTTCGACAGAAAGTAGGGAGCCCAGCAGACCCGAGTACCCTGGCGCGTGGAGGGGTTCAGGAGCCGGCCTGCTGTGCGGGGCACCTGCCGGCTCCGCCCCCGCTCCCGCAGCGCCGCCTGCTGGGCTCTGCTCCCGGCCAGGCCCTCATGTACAGCTGTGACTTCGCTCTGTTCAGCCTGTGACCCTCTCTCCGTTGCCTCCTAGCTTCTCTGTGAACTTGTATAAAGTCACCGGGCAGTTCCCCTGGAGCTCGCTGCGGGAGACGGACAGAGGAGCCTCCGCCGAGTACAGCGTGAGTGGGCTTTCGGCCGCGCTCTGTGGACGTGGGCGCAAGCAAAGCGCCTGCTCCTGGCTCCAGAGTGAGCGGGAGGGGGTGGGAGAGCCCAAGCCCTTTGCCCTCCCAGCAGCCGCCCCTGGCTGGGCGCCCCCTCTGCAGCCGGGTGCAGGCTGCCGGGCGTCCACGCTGGCGTCGTCCGCCCTGTGCCTGTCCGTGTTTGTCCTTCCGCACAGCCCGATGCCAGCCCACGTGCCTCAGGCTCAGACGGTGTCACCGTCCTGTCACTTGAACAGCACCTCGACCGACGTGGCTAAGGGCAGCCGGGGATCAGTGTCCTCTCAGGGTTCGGCTGCGGGCCTCTCCCTTGCTCTGCGCTCTCCCTGCCCCTCCCCTCCCGTTTAGGGTTGTTGAGGAGGGAGCGCCTGGAGCTCTGCGCCCCCACGTGTGCTCAGACAGCAGCGTCGGCCTCACCTGTGACTTGTACACATGAGCTCTCTGGCTGCCGCAGTGGCACAGCGGGATCAGCCTCTGCCAACAGTGCCGCATCCCACGTGGGCGCCGGTTCGGGTCCCGGCTGCTCCACTTCCAATCCAGCTCCCTGCTAATGCGCCTGGGGCAGCAGCAGAGGATGGCCCAAGTGCTTGGGCCCTGCACCCACGTGGGCATGGGAGACTGGCATGAAGCGCCTGGCTCCTGGCTTTGGCCTGGCCGTTGCGGCCATCTGGGGAGTGAGCCGGTGGCTGGCAAGTCTTTCTCCCTGTCTCTCCTCTGCCTTTGAGTAAGTGAGGCCTGCAGGAGAAACAATGCACACGCGGGGCCTCCTTGAGCTGCCCGAATCAGAGCCGCTGGGGCCGGGCCCAGGAAGCTTCTGGTGCCTTCTCCCTCCTGGACCCGGGGACAGGCCGCCCCGCTGCTCCCCCAGGCCCTGCCAGCCCTGGCCCTTGCGGATCTCCTGAGCTGTGTGAGTTGAGGGGGATGCGAGCAGGGCCTCGTGGGGCTGTGTGGAGACTCAGACCAGCGGCTCCGCCCCTGACAGAGCCTGGCGCGGTGCAAGCTCATGACAGAGGAGCTGCCCGGGTTCAGTCCTTGCAGACCAAGGTCAGGAAAGCCCAGGGCAGACGGGTTAAGGGCCGTGAGCGGCTGCACTTCCAGCTCTCTCCACCAAGTGGCAGTCTTTCCTCGCTGGAAGAACGCGCCTCACCACCTGCTGTGGCAGAGCCCAGGTGGGCCTGTGGCGGGATGCCAGGATGCCTGGACAGACGCTGCCCCTCCCCGGGCTGGAGCGAGGCCAGCGTGCAGGGGCACCGGGAGATTCCTCCCACCTCTCTCTGGTGTCCCCCGCCCTTGTCTTTTTTCTAAGCTTTTTAAATTTTAGTTTTTAAATTTTTTATTTTTATTTTTTTGACAGGCAGAGTTAGACAGTGAGAGAGAGACAGAGAGAAAGGTCTTCCTTCTGTTGGTTCACCCCCAAAATGACTGCTATGGCCGGTGCTGTGGTGGATGCGAAGCCAGGAGCCTGGTGCTTCCTCCTGGTCTCCCACCAGCTGCTTTTCTAAGCTTTTTTAAAAGAGCAGGTTCCTGGAATAGCGGAATCTGTTTATGCACACGGGGTTGCAGAGGTGAAGGCTGAGTGCCGAGCTGCTGGGCCAGGGGCCTTGGCAGGACCGCGGGCCGTGGGGCAGAGGCCCTGGCAGCCCGAGGTCGAGGGCGCTGAGCGGAGGGGGAGAGGGATGGGTTGGGCTCCTGCGTGTCCTCAGGCCACAGAGGGGAGGGCTGCCTCAGGGAGCCGTGCTGTGGGCCGACGTGACGGCCAGGTGCAGAGGGCACCGGTGTCCTTGTGGAGAGCCGCCCTGCGGTGAGGGAGAGTGAGGACCCCACATCCCCGCGGCCCTGGTGCCGTGTGGGTGCCCACGGGGCCTCCCCACCCCTCGTGGCCGGAGGGCTCCCGAGAATGCCAGGGAGGGGCGCCCTCCGGGGCGCGTGGAGCTGCCGCGCTGCCCGGCTTCCCTGCGGGAGTGAAGGCCTGAGTGCTTCCCAGAGCCACCACAGGCTGTCCAGAGACGGGGTGCGGCCTCCAGATGGCTCCCCGTGGGCGGCCTGGGAAGTCCCCGACTCAGCTCACAGCCTCTGCCCTCTGCCCTCTGCCCTCCGCCCCGCCCTCCGCCCTCCACCCCACCCTCCACCCTGCCCTCCACCCTCTGCCCTCTGCCCTCCGCCCTCTGCCCTCTGCCCTCCGCCTCACCCTCCACCCCGCCCGTCCCGCTTCCTTTACCCTGCCATCGTTCACAAATGCATCATCTTAGGTACCTACCTAGCTGCTCGGTGATGCCTCACTCCAGAACGTGGCTGGTGGGGCCAGTGTGGTGATGCCAGCTTCCCATGGGAGTGCAGGTTCGAGTCCCGGCTGCTCCACTTCTGATCCCC